GATATTTGAGATTTTTTGGGGGATTTTGGGGGGACATTTTTGGGGTTTTTTTTAGGGGATTTTTGGGGGAATTTTTTGGGGATTTTGGGGGGGAATTTTTAGGAATTTTTTGGGGAGATTTTTGGGGATTTTTTGAGGATTTTGGGCAGATTTTTTTGGGGGATTTTTTGGGATATTTTGGGGAATTTTTGGGGTTTTGGGGCATTTTTTGGGGGGATTTTTGGTTCTTTTTGGGGTATTTTCCACTATTTTTGGGGTATTTTTGGGATTATTTTGGGGTTATTTTGTGACATTTCAGGGGCCTATTTTTGACTATTTTGGGCTATTTTTGGCTATTTTGGGGCCTTTTTGGCTGCTATTTTTGGGGTTATTTTGGGGCTATTTTTGCCAATATTTGGGGCTATTTTGGGCTTTTTGGGGTGGTATTTTTGGGGCTATTTTGGGTCTATTTTGCCACTATTTTGGGTTATTTTGGGGGCTATTTTGGGGCTATTTTGGGCTATTTTTGTCACTATTTTGGGTCTATTTTTGCCACTATTTGGGCCTTTTTGGGTGCTATTTTTGGGGGCTATTTTGGGGGCTATTTTGGGGTATTTTTGGGCTATTTTTGGGCTATTTTTACCACTATTTTAGAGCTATTTTTGGGGGTTTTTTGCCACTATTTTAGTGCTATTTTTGCCACTATTTTGGGCTATTTTTGGGGCCTATTTTGGGGCTATTTTTTGGCTATTTTTGGGCCTTTTTGTCACTATTTTGGGGCTATTTTGGGGCTATTTTTGCCACTCTTTTTACCACTATTTTGGGGCCATTTTGGTGCTTTTTTACCACTATTTTAGTGCTATTTTTGCCACTATTCTTGGGCTATTTTTTCCCACTATTTTGGGGGCTATTTTGGGGCTATTTTTGCCACTATTTTGGGGTTGTTTTGGGGTATTTTTACCACTATTTTGGGGCTATTTTTGCCACTATTTTGGGCCTTTTGGGGGGCTATTTTGGCTGCTATTTTAGGGGCTATTTAGGGGATATTTTGGGGTTATTTTGGGGCTTTTTGCCACTATTTTTGGGCTATTTTTGCCACTATTTTGGGACTATTTTTGGGGCTATTTTTGCCACTATTTTAGGGCTATTTTTGGGCTATTTTTGGGCTATTTTAGGGCTACTTTTGCCACTATTTTGGGGCTATTTTGGGGCTATTTTGAGCTATTTTTACCACTATTTTAGTGCTATTTTTACCACTATTTTGGGGCTATTTTGGTGCTTTTTTACCACTATTTTAGTGCTATTTTGCCACTATTTTTGGGCTATTTTTTCCACTATTTTGGGGTTATTTTGGGGCTATTTTGGGGTATTTTTACCACTATCTTAGGGCTATTTTTGCCGCTATTTTGGGCTATTTTTTTACCACTATTTTAGGGTTATTTTTACCACTATTTTGGGGTTATTTTTTGGGGTTTTTGCCACTATTTTGGGGCTATTTTTATGCTATTTTTGCCACTATCTTAGGTCTATTTTTGCCACTATTTGGGCTATTTTGCCACTATTTTTACCTCTATTTTTGGGCTATTTCTTACCAATTTCCCCCCTTTTCTTTCTAATATATATTTTCCCATTTCCCCCCCCAAAACCCCTCCCAAACCCTCCCAAATTCCCCCAAAACCCCAAATTCCCCCCAAATTCCCCCAAATTCCCCCCAAAATTCCCCCAAATTCCCCCAAATTCCCCCAAATTCGCCCCAAATTCCCCCAAATTCCCCCAAATTCCCCATTCCTGACCGTGGCCGTCACCGCGGTGTCCGAGGCGGGGCCGAGCTGTGGCCGGAGCCCCCCGGCCTCACCCAAGGGGTCCCCGAGGCCGCCCAGGGTCACCCTCAGGGCCAGGGGGGTCAGCGTGTCCTGGGGGCAGCCCTGGAACCCCAAAAACAACGGAAAAATCCCAAAAAATTCCCGTGAAAAACAAAAATTTAAAAAAAAAAAAAAATCCCCAAAATCCCAGCAATTTTCCGCCCAAATTCTGTGATTTTTTACCCAAGTTTTGCCCAATTTCCCCCAAAAAATCCCCCAAATTTCCTCCCCAATTTTCCCCCAAAATCCCCCCCAAAATCCCCCCTAAAATTCCCCCCAAAATCCCCCCAATTTTCCCCAAAATCCCCCCCAAAATCCCCCCAAATTTCCACCCAATTCCCCCCAATTTTCGCCCAAAATCCCCCCAATTTTCCCCAGAAATCCCCCAATTTTCCCCCAATTTTCCCCCCAAATCAACTCAAATTTTCCCCAAAATCCCCCAAAAATCCCCCCAAAATCCCCCCAAATTTCCACCCAATTTTTCCCCAAAATTCCCCCAATTTTCCCCACAAATCTACTCAAATTTTTCCCCCAAAATCCCCCCCAATTTTCACCCAAAATCCCCCCCAATTTTCCCCCAAAATTCCCCCCCAGGTCCCCCCCAATTTTCCCCAAAATCCCCCCCAAAATCCCCCCCAAAATCCCCCAAAATTCCCAAAAATTCCCGTGAAAAACAAAAAATTTAAAAAAAGAACCAAATTTCCCCAAAAATCCCAGCAATTTTCCGCCCAAAATCTGTGATTTTTTACCCAAATTTTGCCCAATTTCCCCCAAAAAAATCCCCCAAATTTCCTCCCCAATTTTCCCCCAAAATTCCCCCCAAAATCCCCCCCAATTTTCCCTAAAATCCCCCCCAAAATTCCCCCCAAAATCCCCCCAAAATTCCCCAAAATTCCCGTGAAAAACAAAAATTAAAAAAAACCCCAAATTCCCCAAAAATCCCAGCAATTTTCCGCCCAAATTCTGTGATTTTTTACCCAAATTTCGCCTTAGTTTGCTCAATTTCCCCCAAAAAATTCCCCAAATTTCCTCCCCCAATTTTTCCCCAAAATCGCCCCAATTTTCCCCCAAAATTCCCCCCCAGTTTCCACCCAATTTTCCCCAAATTCCTCCCAAAATTCCCCCCAAATTCCCCCCCAAAATTCCCAAAAATTCCCGTGAAAAACAAAAATTTAAAAAAAAAACAAATTTCCCCAAAAATCCCAGCAATTTTCCGCCCAAATTCTGTGATTTTTTACCCAAATTTCGCCTTAGTTTGCTCAATTTCCCCCAAAAAATCCCCCAAATTTCCGCCCCAATTTTCCCCCCAAAATTCCCCCCCAGTTTCCACCCAATTTTCCCCCAAAATTCCCCCCAAAATCCCCCCCAAAAATTTCCCCAAAATCCCCCTAAAATCCCCCCCAAAATCCCCCTAAAATCCCCCCCAAAATCCCCCCAAAAATTCCCAAAAATTCCCGTGAAAAACAAAAAATTTAAAAAAAAAATTCCCCAAAAATCCCCGCAATTTTCCGCCCAAATTCTGTGATTTTTTACCCAAATTTCGCCTTAGTTTTTACCAATTGCCCACCAAAAAATCCCCCAAATTTCCACCCCAATTTTCCCCCAAAATCCCCCTAAAAATCCCCCCAAATTTTCCCCCAAAATTGTCCCCAAATTACCTCAAAATCCCCAATTTTCCTCAAAAATCCCACAATTTTTGCCCAAAATCCCCCCAAAATCCCTCCAAATCCCCCCAATTTTCCCCCAAATTTTTCCCCAATTTTCTCCAAAATCCCCCCCAAATTTCCTCCAATTTTCCCCCCAATTTTCCCCACAAATCAACTCAAATTTTCCCCAAAATCCCCCCAAAATCCCCCCCATTTTTCCCCAATTTTTCCCCCAATTTTCCCCAATTTTCCCCCATTTTTCCCCATTTTTCCCCAATTTTTCCCAATTTTCCCAATTTTTTCCCAATTTTTTTCCCAATTTTTCCCCATATTCCCCAATTTTTCCCAATTTTTCCCAATTTTTCCCAATTTTTCCCAATTTTTCCCCAATTTTCCCCAATTTTTCCCAATTTTTCCCCAATTTTCCCCAATTTTTCCATTTTTTCCCCATTTTTCCCAATGTTTCCCCATTTTTCCCAATTTTTCCTAATTGTTTCCCAATTTTCCCCAATTTTTCCCAATTTTCCCCCATATTTCCCAATTTTTCCCCATTTTTCCCCAATTTCCCCCCATTTTTCCCAATTTTTTCCCCAATTTTCCCAATTTTCCCCAATTTTTCCCCAATTTTCCCAATTTTCCCCCAAATTTTCCCCCAAATTTTCCCCCCAATTTTTCCCCCAATTTGTCCCAATTTTTTTCCCAATTTTTTCCCAATTTTTCCCCATATTCCCCATTTTTCCCAATTTTTCCCAATTTTACCCAATTTTCACCAATTTTCCCCAATTTTTTCCCCAATTTCCCCCCATTTTTCCCATTTTTCCCCAATTTTCCCCCATTTTCCCCAATTTTCCCCAATTTTTTCCCCATTTTTTCCAGTTTTCCCCATTTTCCCCAATTTTTCCCCAATTTTCCCCATTTTCCCCATTTTCCCCCATTTTTCCCCATTTTCCCCAATTTCCCCCCATTTTTCCCAATTTTTCCCCATTTTCCCCAATTTTCCCCAATTTTTCCCCATATTTCCCAATTTTCCCAATTTTTCCCATTTTTCCCCATTTTTCCCCATTTTCCCCCATATTTCCCAATTTTTCCCCATATTTCCCAATTTTTCCCAATTTTTCCAAATTTCCCCCAATTCTCCCCAATTTTCTCCCAATTTTTCCTCAATTTTTCCCCAATTTTCCCCAATTTTTCCCAAATTTTCCCAATTTTTCCCCAATTTTCCCAATTTTCCCCAATTTTTCCCCAATTTTTCCCAATTTTTCCCCATTTTTCCCAATTTTTCTCAATTTTTCCCAATTTTTTCCCAATTTTCCCCAATTTTCCCCAATTTTTCCCCATTTTTCCGAATTTTCCCCAATTTTCCCCAATTTTCCCCAATTTTTCCCCCCATTTTCCCAATTTTCTCAAAATCCCCGTTTTTTCACCCCAATTCCCACCTTGTAGAAAATCTCCAGGTCCTGGCAGTGCTGCCCCACCCCCACCCTCAGGGTCCCATTTTTGGCGTTTTCGGCCCCAAAATCGGCGCGGACGCGAGCGCGGCCGGGATCCAGCTCGGCCCGGAACCACAGCGAGGCCGAAACCGAGGAACCTTTTGGGGAGAAAACACCGGAATTTGGGAAAATCGGGGAAATTTGGGGAAATTTGGGCGAAAATTGGGCGAAAATTGGGGAAAAATTGGGGAAAAATTGAGGTGAAATGTGGGGGGAAATTGGAAAATTTTGGGGGGAAAAATTGGGGGAAATTTGGGGAAAATTGGGGAAAAATTGGGACTTTTTGGGAGGAAAAATTGGGGGGATTTTGGGGTGAAAATTTGGGGGGAAATTGGGGGAAAGTTGGGGGAAAATTTTGGGGAAAATTGGGGGAAAAATGGGGAAAATATTGGGGAAAATTGGGGGAAAATTGGGGAAAAATTGGGGGAATTTGGGGGAAAATTGGGGGGTAATGTGGGGGGAAATTGGGAAATTTTGGGGGGGAAAAATTGGGGGGATTTGGGGGAAATTTGGGAAAGTTGGGAAATTTGGGGATTTTGCGGAAAAATTGGGGAAAATTGGGACATTTTGGGGGCGAAAATTGGGGGATTTTAGGGGCAAATTTGGGGAAAATTGGGGGGGAATTTGGGGTGGAAATTTGGGGGGAAAATTGGGGGAAATTGGGGGAAAATTGGGGGGAAAATTGGGGAAAATTTGGAGGTATTGGGTGAAAAAATGGGGATTTTTTGGGGGGAAATTTGGGAAAAAATGGGTGAAATTTGGGTGAAAAAAGGGGGATTTTGGGGTTCAGGTGAGGATTTTGGGGGTTCAGGTGTGAATTTTGGGGTGGATTTGGGGGTGGATTTGGGGGTCCAGGTCTCACCGAAGGAGTCGGGCGTGGATTTTGGGGGTTCAGGTGAGGTTCAGGTGTGAATTTTGGGGGTCCAGGTGTGAATTTTGGGGGCTCAGGTGTGGATTTTGGGGTTCAGGTGTGAATTTGGGGTGAATTTTGGGGCTCAGGTGTGAATTTTGGGGTGAATTTGGGTCCAGGTCTCACCGAAGGGGTCGGGTGTGGATTTTGGGGGTTCAGGTGTGGTTTTTTGGGGTGGATTTTGGGGTCCAGGTGTGAATTTTGGGGTGAATTTGGGTCCAGGTCTCACCGAAGGAGTCGGGCGTGAATTTGGGGTGGATTTTGGGGGTTCAGGTGTGAATTTTGGGGTGAATTTTGGGGTGAATTTTGGGGGTCTCACCGAAGGAGTCGGGCGTGGATTTGGGGTGGATTTTGGGGTGAATTTGGGGTGAATTTTGGGGCTCAGGTGTGAATTTGGGGTGAATTTGGGGTGAATTTTGGGGTGAATTTTGGGGGTCTCACCGAAGGAGTCGGGCGTGGATTTGGGTGGATTTTGGGGGTTCAGGTGTGAATTTGGGGGTGAATTTTGGGGTGAATTTGGGGTGGATTTGGGGTGGATTTTGGGGTGAATTTGGGGTGAATTTGGGGTGAATTTTGGGGGTTCAGGTGTGAATTTTGGGGTGAATTTGGGGTGAATTTGGGGTGAATTTTGGGGGTCTCACCGAAGGAGTCGGGCGTGTCCTTGCTGACCCCGGAAGCAGAGCCGGGCCACGCCCAGCCGGTCCCGAAGCTCCGCCCCCTCCGGGCACTCCCGGGCCGGGATCACCTGGGGGTCAAAGGTCACCTGGAGCCTGACCCCGAGCAGCGGCGGCGACCTGGGGGGGAGGGGCCACAGCTGGGGTCCACCTGGGGTCACACCTGGGGGTCACACCCGGGGTCACACCTGGGGTCACAGCTGGGGTCACAGCTGGGGTCACACCTGGGGTCACCTGGGGTCACACCTGGGGTCACACCCGGGGTCATCTGGGGGGGAGGGGTCACACCTGGGGTCACCTGGGGACACCTGAGCAGCCACACCTGGCCCAGGTGAGTTTCAGGTGATTTTTGGGTGGATTTTGGCTGATTTTGGGTGGATTTTTGGTATTTTTTGGTATTTCTGGGTCCCCTGCACTCACCTGAGCAGCAGCACCTGGCCCAGGTGTGTTTCAGGTGTTTTTTGGGGTATGTTTGGGTGATTTTTGGGTGATTTTGGGGCAGTTTCAGGTGATTTTGGTCACCTGGCCCAGGTGTGAGTTTCATGTGGTTTTGGGGTATTTTTGGGGTGAATTTTGGGTGATTTTGGGTTACCTGCACTCACCTGAGCAGCAGCACCTGGCCCAGGTGTGATTTTGGGTGGATTTCAGGTGAATTTTGGGTGAATTTTGGGTATTTTTGGGTCACCTGCACTCACCTGAGCAGCAGCACCTGTCCCAGGTGTGTTTCAGGTGTTTTTTGGGGTAATTTTGGGTGATTTTGGGGCAGTTTCAGGTGATTTTGGTCACCTGGTCCAGGTGTGAGTTTCAGGTATTTTTTGGGGTATTTTTGGTGGATTTTGGGTGATTTGGGGGCAGTTTCAGGTGATTTTGGGTAATTTTGGGTGATTTTTTTGGGTGAATTTTGGGTATTTTTGGGGTCCCCTGCACTCACCTGAGCAGCAGCACCTGTCCCAGGTGTGATTTTGGGTGATTTCAGGTGATTTTGGGTATTTTTGGGTCCCCTGCACTCACCTGAGCAGCAGCCCCTGGCCCAGGTGAGTCTCAGGTGATTTTGGGTGGATTTTGGGTATTTTTGGGTGATTTTGGGGCGGGTTTCAGGTGATTTTGGGTGATTTTTGGGTGAATTTGGGTGATTTTGGGTCACCTGCACTCACCTGAGCAGCAGCACCTGGCCCAGGTGTGTTTCAGGTGTTTTTTGGGTATTTTTGGGTGATTTTTGGGTGGATTTTGGGTGATTTTGGGTGGATTTCAGGTGATTTTTGGGGTTTTTTGGGTCACCTGCACTCACCTGAGCAGCAGCACCTGTCCCAGGTGAGTTTCAGGTGATTTTGGGGTATTTTTGGGTGATTTTTGGGTGGTTTTGGGTCCCCTGCACTCACCTGAGCAGCAGCACCTGGCCCAGGTGAGTTTCAGGTGAATTTTGGGATTTTTGGGTGATTTTTGGGTGATTTTGGGGATTTTTGGGTCCCCTGCACTCACCTTGGCAGCAGCCACCTGGCCCAGGTGTGATTTTGGGTGAATTTTGGGTATTTTTGGGTCACCTGCACTCACCTGAGCAGCAGCCCCTGGCCCAGGTGTGATTTTGGGGCTTTTCAGGTGAATTTTGGGTATTTTTGGGTGAATTTTGGGTATTTTTGGGTCCCCTGCACTCACCTGAGCAGCAGCACCTGTCCCAGGTGTGTTTCAGGTGATTTTTGGGTGGATTTTGGGTGATTTTGGGTGATTTTGGGGTCCCCTGCACTCACCTGAGCAGCAGCCCCTGGCCCAGGTGTGATTTTGGGGTTTTTCAGGTGTTTTTGGGGTATTTTGGGTGGATTTTGGGTGATTTTGGGTCCCCTGCACTCACCTGAGCAGCAGCACCTGGCCCAGGTGTGATTTTAGGTGGATTTTGGGTGATTTTGGGCAGTTTCAGGTGATTTCGGGTTACCTGCACTCACCTGAGCAGCAGCACCAGGCCCAGGTGAGTTTTGGGTGTTTTTTGGGTATTTTTGGGTGATTTTTTGGGTGATTTTTGGGTGGATTTTGGGTATTTTTGGGTTACCTGCACTCACCTGAGCAGCAGCACCTGTCCCTGCGCGCCCACGGCCAGGTCGGGGAGGTCGTCCCCACTCAGGTCCCGCCCCCCGCTCAGCGATTGGCCGAAGAAACGGGGCTGGGACGGGAACCGGGAACCCGGGGATGCGCTGGGGGACACCGGACAGGTGAGACAGGACAGGTGAGAAACGACAGGTGAGACACAGGTGAGACACAGGTGAGGTCACACAGGTGAGGTCACAGGTGAGGTCACACAGGTGAGGTCACAGGTGAGACACAGGTGAGGTCACACAGGTGAGGTCACAGGTGAGGTCACACAGGTGAGACCCCCCCCACTTCCCCCAGGTGAGCCCTCAACCCCTCCCAGGTGTCCCCAGGTGTGTCCCAGGTGTATCCCGGGTGTGTCCAGGTGTCCCCAGGTGTGTCCCCCAGGTGTGTCCCCTCCTCTCCCAGGTGTCCCCCCAGGTGTGTCCCAGGTGTGTCCAGGTGTCCCCAGGTGTGTCCCAGGTGTGTCCAGGTGTGTCCCAGGTGTGCCCTCACCTGCCCCAGGTGTCCCCAGGTGATCCTGGGTGTGCCCTCACCTGTCCCAGGTGTGTCCCAGGTGTGTCCCCAGGTGTGTCCCCTCCTCTCCCAGGTGTCCCCAGGTGTGTCCCAGGTGTGTCCCAGGTACCCCCTCAGGTGTGCCCCCAGGTGTGCCCTCAACCCCCTCACCTGCCCCAGGTGTCCCCAGGTCCCCCCCAGGTGTGCCCTCACCTGCCCGCGCTCGCTGACGCCCCCAGGTGTCCCCGGATGTCCCCAGGTGTATCCCAGGTGTGCCCTCACCTGCCCCAGGTGTGCCCTCACCTGTCCCCGGTACCCCCCCAGGTGTGTCCAGGTGTGTCCCAGGTGTCCCCAGCTGTCCCCTCACCTGCCCCAGGTGTCCCCACGTGTCCCCAGGTGTCCCCAGGTGTGTCCCAGGTGTGCTCAGGTGTCCCAGGTACCCTCCAGGTGTGTCCCCTCACCTGTCCCAGGTGTGTCCCAGGTACCCCCCAGGTGTGCCCAGGTGTGTCCCCAGGTGTGCCCTCACCTGCCCCAGGTGTGCCCACGTGTCCCCATGTGTATCCCAGGTGTGTCCCAGGTGTGCTCAGGTGTCCCAGGTACCCCCCAGGTGTGTCCCCAGGTGTCCCCAGTACCCCCCAGCTGTCCCCTCACTGTCCCAGGTGTGCCCAGGTGTCCCCTCACCTGTCCCCAGGTGTGTCCCCCAGGTGTCCCCAGGTGTGCCCTCACCTGTCCCCATGTGCCCTCACCTGTCCCAGGTGTCCCCAGGTGTGTCCCCAGGTGTCCCCTCACCTGCCCGCGCTCGCTGAGGCCCCCAGGTGTGCTCCTGAACAGGTAAACCGCGCCCCGCCCCTCGTCCTCCAGGGGCGCCCCCACGGCCACCTGGGCGCACCCGGCCCCGCCCACCTGCGCCAGGTGAGCCAGGCTGGCCCCGAAGCGGCCCAGGGGCTGCCCAGGTGAGCCCCGCAGGGAGCGGGGGACAGCGCAGGTGAGGCACCTGTGGGGACAGGAGAGATGGGACAGGTGAGACCGGACAGGTGAGGGACAGGTGAGGGACCTGCGGGGACAGGGGAGATGGGGACAGGTGAGATTGGACAGGTGAGGGACAGGGGAGATTGGACAGGTGAGATGGGACAGGTGAGACCAGACAGGTGAGGCACCTGCGGGGACAGGGGAGATGGGACAGGTGAGATTGGACAGGTGAGGTCACACAGGTGAGATTGGACAGGTGAGATTGGACAGGTGAGGACAGGTGAGAGTGACAGGTGAGACTGGACAGGTGAGATCAGGTGAGGTCACACAGGTGAGATTGGACAGGTGAGATTGGACAGGTGAGGCACCTGCGGGGACAGGGGACACCGGACAGGTGAGATTGGACAGGTGAGATTGGACAGGTGAGATTGACAGGTGAGATTGGACAGGTGAGATTGGACAGGTGAGATTGGACAGGTGAGATCCAGGTGAGCTCAGACAGGTGAGACCAGACAGGTGAGGCACCTGCAGGGACAGGGGAGATGGACAGGTGAGATTGGACAGGTGAGGTCACACAGGTGAGCTAAGACAGGTGAGATTGACAGGTGAGATTGGTCAGGTGAGGTCACACAGGTGAGACCAGACAGGTGAGGGACCTGTGGGGACAGGGGACACCGGACAGGTGAGATGGGGTCAGGTGAGGTCAGACAGGTGAGGTCAGACAGGTGGGATTGGACAGGTGAGGTGACACAGGGGATGTCACACAGGTGAGATCCAGGTGAGGTCACACAGGTGACACAGGTGAGATGGGGACAGGTGAGCCAGGTGAGCGGTGAGAAACAGGTGAGGCACAGGTGAGGGACAGGTGGGACAGCTGAGGTCACACAGGTGAGGTCACACAGGTGGCGACAGGTGAGGTCACACAGGTGAGATGGGACAGGTGACACAGGTGGGGGCCAGGTGAGGCCCCCAGGTGTGTCTGTCCCCCCCCCCCCCCCAGGTGTGTCCCTGTCCAGGTGTGTCTGTCCCTCCCAGGTGCGCTCACCTGTCCAGGTGTGTCCATCCCTCCCTCCCCAGGTGTGTCTGTCCCTCACCTGCCCAGGTGTGTCCCCTCCCCCCCAGGTGTGTCTGTCCCCTCCCCCCCAGGTGCGCTCACCTGTCCGTGGATCTCGCACAGGTGAACTCGGCCGCCGCTGCCCCCCCCGTAGAACAGGGGAGCCCCCACCAGGAGCCGCACCTGGGGCTGCTCACCTGGCCGGGGGGCGGGGGCTGCTCACCTGGGCGGGGCTCCTCACCTGGGCGGGGCTGCTCACCTGGGCGGGGCTCCTCACCTGGGCGGGGCTCACCTGGGCGGGGCTCACCTGGGCACGGCTCCAGGGCCAGCAGGGAGGCCCCGAAATAGGAACCCACCTGAGGAGAGAGACAGGTGAGGGACAGGTGAGGGACAGGTGAGGGACAGGTGAGGGACAGGTGAGACACAGGTGAGGGACAGGTGAGGGACACAGGTGAGGGACACAGGTGAGGGACAGGTGAGGGACAGGTGAGACCCTCCCAGGTGACCTCACCTGTCCCAGGTGTGACCGTCCCCAGGTGAGACCCCTCAGGTGTGACAGGTGACCCTGTCCAGGTGTGTCCCACCCCTCACCTGTCCCAGGTGTGTCCCAGGTGTGTCCCAGGTGTTTCCCTCACCTGTCCAGGTGTCCCCACCCCTCACCTGTGTCCCCGTGGGCTCCCCCAGCACCTCCCAGGTGTGTCCCAGGTGTCCCTCACCTGTCCCAGGTGTGTCCCCCATCCCTCACCTGTGTCCCCCCTCACCTGTCCCAGGTGTGTCCCAGGTGTGTCCCCTCTCACCTGCCCAGGTGTGTCCCAGGTGTGTCCCCTCTCACCTGTCCAGGTGTGTCCTCACCTCTCACCTGTGTCCCCATGGCCTCCCCCAGCACCTCCCAGGTGTGTCCCAGGTGTGTCCCAGGTGTGTCCCAGGTGTGTCCCCACCCCTCACCTGTGTCCCCCCTCACCTGTCCAGGTGTGTCCCTCACCTGTGTCCCCGTGGCCTCCCCCATCACCTCCCAGGTGTGTTCCAGGTGTGTCCCTGACCTGCCCAGGTGTGTCCCCCTCTCACCTGTGTCCCCCCTCACCTGTCCCAGGTGTGTCCCAGGTGTCCCCCCAGGTGTCCCTCACCTGTGTGCCCATGGCCTCCCCCAGCACCTCCCAGGTGTCCCCAGGTGTGTCCCAGGTGTGTCCCAGGTGTGTCCCAGGTGTTTCCCAGGTGTCCCTCACCTGTCCCAGGTGTGTCCCTCACCTGTGTGCCCATGGCCTCCCCCATCGCCTCCCAGGTGTCTCCCAGGTGTCCCCCCAGGTGTGTCCCAGGTGTGTCCCTCACCTGTCCCAGGTGTGTCCCCTCTCACCTGTGTCCCTGTGGCCTCCCCCATCACCTCCCAGGTGTGTCCCTCACCTGTGTCCCCTCTCACCTGTCCAGGTGTGTCCCTCACCTGTGTCCCCTCTCACCTGTCCAGGTGTGTCCCCCTCTCACCTGTGTCCCCGTGGCCTCCCCCATCACCTCCCAGGTGTTTCCCAGGTGTGTCCCCCCAGGTGTGTCCCACCCCTCACCTGTGTCCCCCCTCACCTGTCCCAGGTGTGTCCCAGGTGTGTCCCAGGTGTCCCTCACCTGCCCAGGTGTCCCCCCAGGTGTCCCCACCCCTCACCTGTGTCCCCGTGGCCTCCCCCAGCACCTCCCAGGTGTGTCCCAGGTGTGTCCCCCCTCACCTGTCCAGGTGTGTCCCAGGTGTGTCCCTCACCTGTCCCAGGTGTGTCCCAGGTGTGTCCCCACCCCTCACCTGTGTCCCCGTGGCCTCCCCCATCACCTCCCAGGTGTTTCCCAGGTGTGTCCCAGGTGTGTCCCAGGTGTGTCCCAGGTGTCCCTCACCTGTCCAGGTGTGTCCCAGGTGTTTCCCAGGTGTGTCCCTCACCTGCCCAGGTGTGTCCCAGGTGTGTCCCCTCTCACCTGCCCAGGTGTCCCCTCTCACCTGTGTGCCCATGGCCTCCCCCATCGCCTCCCAGGTGTGTCCCAGGTGTGTCCCAGGTGTGTCCCCTCTCACCTGTGTCCCCGTGGCCTCCCCCATCGCCTCCCAGGTGTTTCCCTCACCTGTCCCAGGTGTGTCCCAGGTGTGTCCCAGGTGTGTCCCAGGTGTGTCCCCCTCTCACCTGTGTCCCCATGGCCTCCCCCATCACCTCCCAGGTGTTTCCCAGGTGTGTCCCAGGTGTGTCCCCACCCCTCACCTGTCCCAGGTGTGTCCCTCACCTGTGTCCCCATGGCCTCCCCCATCGCCTCCCAGGTGTGTCCCAGGTGTGTCCCAGGTGTGTCCCCACCCCTCACCTGTGTCCCCGTGGCCTCCCCCAGCGCCTCCCAGGTGTTCCCCAGGTGTGTCCCAGGTGTCCCTCACCTGCCCAGGTGTCCCTCACCTGTGTCCCCATGGCCTCCCCCATCGCCTCCCAGGTGTTTCCCAGGTGTGTCCCTCACCTGTCCCAGGTGTGTTTCCCAGGTGTGTCCCAGATGTCCCCCCTCACCTGCCCAGGTGTCCCCCCAGGTGTCCCCACCCCTCACCTGTGTCCCCATGGCCTCCCCCAGCACCTCCCAGGTGTTTCCCTTCCGCAGCACCAGGACCTTGCCCAGGTGGCCCCACCTGGGAGCTCCCAGGGCCAGGCCCCAGGTGCGCCCCAGCCTCAGGGGCGTGGCCGAGTAACCTGCGCAGGTGAGAGGGGGAGATTTGGGGGGATTTGGGGGGATTTGGGGGAAATTTGGAGAGTTTCAGGTAAATGATTTTGAGGATTTTTGGGTGAATTTTTGGGGGAATTTTCAGGTAAATTTTGGGTGAATTTTTGGGGCATTTCAGGCAAAATTTGGGGAGTTTCAGGTGAATTTTGAGGATTTTTGGGTGAATTTTTGGGGGAATTTCGGGTCATTTTTTGGGGATTTTTGGGTCATTTTGGGGGGAATTTCAGGTAAATTTTGGGGCATTTCAGGTAAATTATTTTGAGGATTTTCAGGTGAATTTTTGGGGAATTTTTGGGTCATTTTTTGGGGTATTTTTGGGTCATTTTTTGGGGATTTTTGGGTCATTTTTGGGGGCATTTTCAGGTAAATTTGGGGCATTTCAGGTAAATTATTTCGAGGATTTTCGGTTGAATTTTTGGGGCATTTTCGGGTAAATTTTGGGGCATTTTCAGGTTAAATTTGAGGATTTTCGGGTAAATTTTGGGGAGTTTCAGGTAAATTTTGGGGAATTTCAGGTAAATTATTTTGAGGATTTTCAGGTGAAATTTTTGGGGGATTTTTGGGTAAATTTTGGGGAGTTTCAGGTAAATTTTAGGGGCATTTCAGGTAAATGATTTCGAGGATTTTCGGGTGAATTTTTGGGGCATTTTTTGGGGCATTTTCGGGTGAATTTTCGGGTCATTTTTGGGTCATTTTGGGGTCATTTTTGGGTCATTTTTAGGGCATTTTTTGGGTCATTTTTTGGGGTCATTTTCGGGTCATTTTTGGGGGAATTTTTGGGTCATTTTTGGGTCATTTTTGTGGTCATTTTGGGGTCATTTTTGGGGGAATTTTCGGGTCATTTTGGGGGCATTTTCAGGTCATTTTTGGGGTCATTTTTGGGCATTTTCGGGTCATTTTTGAGGGATTTTTGGGTCATTTTTGGGACATTTTTGGGCAAATTTTGGGGTCATTTTTAGGACATTTTGGGTCATTTTTGGGGGAATTTTCGGGTCATTTTTGGGTCATTTTTGGGGCATTTTTGGGGTCATTTTCGGGTCAATTTTAGGGTCATTTTTGGGGGATTTTCGGGCCATTTTTGGGTCAATTTTGGGTCATTTTCGGGCCATTTTTGGGTCAATTTTGGCCATTTTCAGGTCATTTTTGGGTCATTTTCGGGTCATTTTTGGGTCATTTTTGGGCCATTTTCGGGTCATTTTTGGGTCATTTTCGGGCCATTTTTGGGTCATTTTTGGGGTCATTTTCGGGTCATTTTTGGGTCAATTTTGGCCATTTTCAGGTCATTTTTGGGGTCATTTTGGGGTCATTTTTAGGGCATTTTTTGGTCAATTTTGGGGTCATTTTCGGGCCATTTTTGGGTCATTTTTGGGGGGCGTTTCCCCTTACCCAGGTAAGCGTCCCTGGCGTCCTCGCCCTCAGGTGTGCCCGGGTGTGGCCCAGGTGTGCCCGGGCTGGGGGCGGAGCCGTTGAGGAAGGCGGGCGCCGCCCCTCCCCCGCCGTAGACGAAGGCTCCTCCCGACCAATCAAAAGCCCCGACAGCGCCCAGGACCGGCCCCGCCTGGGGAGGGGCCAGGGGTCACCCGGGGTCACACAGGGGTCACCCAGGGGTCACCGAGGGGTCATGAAGGGGTCACCAAGGGGTCAGTCAAGGGTCACTCATGGTCACTCAGTGGTCACTCATTTGTCACTCATTGGTCACTCAGTGGTCACTCTGTGGTCACTCATGGTCACTCAGTGGTCAGTTGGTCACTCATGGTCACTTTGTGGTCAGTTGGTCAGTGGTCAGTTGGTCACTCATTGGTCACTCAGTGGTCACTCAGTGGTCACTCTATGGTCAGTTGGTCAGTGGTCAGTTGGTCACTCATTGGCCACTCATGGTCACTCTGTGGTCAGTGGTCACTCAGTGGTCACTCAGTGGTCACTCAGTGGTCACTCAGTGGTCACTCATGGTCACTTTGTGGTCAGTTGGTCAGTGGTCAGTTGGTCACTCATTGGTCACTCATGGTCACTCTATGGTCAGTTGGTCACTCTGGCCACTCTATGGTCAGTTGGTCAGTGGTCACTCATTGGTCACTCATTGCTCACTCATGGTCACTCTGTGGTCACTCATTGGTCAGTGGTCACTCTGTGGTCAGGTGGTCAGTGGTCACTCATTGGTCACTCAGTGGTCACCCATTGGTCACTCATTGGTCACTCAGTGGTCACTCATTGGTCACTCATTGGTCACTCATTGGTCACTCATTGGTCACTCTGTGGTCAGTGGTCAGTTGGTCACTCATGGTCACTCATGGTCACTCATTGGTCAGTGGTCAGTTGGTCAGTGGTCACTCAGTGGTCACTCAGTGGTCACTCATTGGTCACTCATTGGTCACCCATTGGTCACTCTGTGGTCACTCACGGGGCTCAGGGTGGCGCTCATCCCCTCCTGGGCCATCTCCAGCTGGAAGGAGCTGCCGTGCACCGAGTGCGTACCTGGCGCAGGTGAGAGCGGGCGGGGCACAGGTGAGGGCACGGATCAGGGCATGGGTACCCCCAGGTGTGTCCCAGGTACCCCCCAGGTACCCCCCAGGTACCCCCCAGGTGTGCCCAGGTGTGTTATAACTGTCCCCAGGTGTATCCCAGGTACCCCCAGGTGCCCCCAGGTGTATCACAGGTGCCCCCAGGTACCCCCCAGGTGTGCCCAGGTGTGCCCAGGTGTGTTATAACTGCCCCCAGGTGTATCCCAGGTGTGTCCCAGGTGTATCCCAGGTGCGCCAGGTGTATCTCAGGTGTCCCCAGGTACCCCCCAGGTGTATCCCAGGTGTATATCAGGTGTGCCCAGGTGCACCCAGGTGTGCCCAGGTGTATCTCAGGTGTATCCCAGGTGTGTTATAACTGCCCCCAGGTGTGCCCAGGTACCCCCCAGGTGCCCCCAGGTGTATCCCAGGTGTGCCCAGGTGTGCCCAGGTGTATCTCAGGTGCACCCAGGTACCCCCCAGGTGTCCCCAGGTGCCCCCAGCTGTCCCCAGGTGTATCTCAGGTGTGCCCAGGTGTGTTATAACTGCCCCCAAGTGTATCCCAGGTGTGTTATAACTGCCCCCAGGTGTGCCCAGGTGTCTCCAGGTGTCCCCAGGTGTATCCCAGGTGTGCCCAGGTGTCCCCAGGTGTGCCCAGGTGTGTCCCAAGTGTCCCCAGGTGTATCTCAGGTGTGCCCAGGTGTGCCCAGGTACCCCCCAGGTGCCCCCACGTACCCCCCAGATGTATCTCAGGTGTATCCCAGGTGCCCCCAGGTGCCCCCAGGTGCGCCCAGGTGTATCCCAAGTGTCCCCAGGTGTGCCCAGGTGTCCCCAGGTGTATCTCAGGTGTATCCCAGGTGTATCTCAGGTGTGCCCAGGTACCCTCGATGGCGAAGATCTTCTCCTGGAGCTGGCTCTGGATCCCGTCCAGCGCCCGGAAGTTGTCGACGCGGAACAGGTGATCCCGGGCGGGGCTGGAGGCGATCACCTGCAGCTCCCGGAACGCACTGGGGTTCAGGAACGCCCCGCCCACCTGCGCCGACAGGTGAGATGGACAGGTGAGATGGACAGGTGGGCATGGACAGGTGGGTGTGGACAGGTGAGATGGGCGTGGATGGAGATGGACAGGTGGGGTGGGCATGGACAGGTGGGCATGGACAGGTGAGATGGACAGGTGAGGTGGACAGGTGGGCATGGACAGGTGGGCATGGACAGGTGGACATGGATGGACAGGTGAGGTGGGCGTGGACAGGTGGGCGTGGACAGGTGAGGCGGAACAGGTGATCCTGGGCGGGGCTGGAGGCGATCACCTGCAGCTCCCGGAAGGCACTGGGGTTCAGGAACGCCCCGCCCACCTGCGCATCCGACAGGTGAGATGGACAGGTGGGCGTGGACAGGTGAGATGGAACAGGTGGGCATGGACAGGTGGGCATGGATGGACAGGTGGGCGTGGACAGGTGAGGTGGGCATGGATGGAGATGGACAGGTGAGGTGAGCATGGACAGGTGGGATGGACAGGTGGGGTGGACAGGTGGGCATGGACAGGTGAAGTGCAGGTGGACAGGTGGGCATGGATGGATGGAGGTGGACAGGTGAGGTGGGCATGGACAGGTGGGCGTGGACAGGTGAGATGGAACAGGTGAGCATGGACAGGTGAGGTGCAGACAGACAGGTGGACATGGATGGACAGGTGGGCATGGACAGGTGAGGTGGGCGTGGACAGGTGAGGTGGGCGTGGACAGGTGGGGTGGGCATGGACAGGTGGGCATGGACAGGTGAGGTGCAGGTGGACAGGTGAGGTGGAACAGGTGGGACGGATGGACAGGTGGACGTGGTGGACACGGATGGACAGGTGGGATGGACAGGTGGACATGGACAGACAGGTGAGGTGGACATGGACGGATGGACAGGTGGACGTGGTGGACATGGACAGATGGACATGAATGGACAGGACGGATGGACAACTGGACATGGTGGGATGGACAGGTGGACATGGATGGACAACTGGACATGGTGGACACGGACGGACAGGAGAGATGGAGATGGATGGACAGATGGACACGGACGGATGGGCAGCTGGACATGGTGGACACAGATGGACAACTGGACATGGATGGATGGACATGGATGGACAGCTGGACATGATGGACATGGATGGACAGGTGGACACGGCTGGATGGACAACTGGACGAGGTGGACATGGACAGGACGGATGGACAGACGGATGGACATGAATGGACAGGAGATGGATGGACAGCTGGACATGGATGGACAGCTGGACATGGTGGACACGGATGGACAGGAGAGATGGATGGACAGCTGGACACGGATGGATGGACAACTGGACATGGTGGACATGGCTGGATGGACAGATGGACATGGCGGACACGAATGGACAGGACGGATGGACAGACGGATGGACACGGACAGGACGGATGGACAGACGGACATGGTGGACATGGACAGGACAGCTGGACATGGTGGACACGAATGGACAGGACAGATGGACAGACGGATGGACACGGACAGGACGGATGGACAGACGGATGGACATGGATGGATGGAGATGGACATGGTGGACACGGACAGGAGGTGGATGGACAGATGGACATGGTGGACATGGATGGATGGACACGGATGGACAACTGGACATGGTGGACACGAATGGACAGATGGACAGACGGATGGACACGGACAGGAGAGACGGATGGACAGACGGACGCGTCCGTGCGGACTGACCCCGATGGCGTAGCGCGTGACCTTTGCCCTCTCGGCCAGCGGGATGACCTCCGGGTAGTCCAGGGGGTCATCGAACTTCTCGCCGTCGGTGACCACGATCAGGATGCGCCGGGCGTGCGGCCGGGCCCCGCGGCCGGACACGAACATCTGCGTCCTGGGGTCAGAGGTCAGCGCGGTCAGTGCGGCCGGAGGGCAGCGGTCAGTGTGGTCAGTGTGGTCAGTGCGGCCGGAGGGCAGCGGTCAGCGTGGTCAGTGTGGTCAGTGTGGTCAGTGTGGTCAGTGTGGTCAGCGTGGTCAGTGTGGTCAGTGCGGTCAGTGTGGTCAGTGTGGTCAGCGTGGTCAGTGTGGTCAGTGCGGTCAGCGTGGCCGGAGGGCAGTGGTCAGTGTGGTCAGTGCGGTCAGTGTGGTCAGCGTGGTCAGTGTGGTCAGTGTGGTCAGCGTGGCCGGAGGGCAGCGGTCAGTGCAGTCAGTGTGGTCAGTGTGGTCAGTGCGGTCAGTGTGGTCAGTGTGGTCAGTGTGGTCAGTGCGGTCAGTGTGGTCAGTGTGGTCAGTGCGGTCAGCGTGGTCAGTGTGGTCAGTGTGGTCAGTGTGGTCAGTGTGGTCAGTGTGTTCAGTGTGGTCAGTGCGGCCGGAGGGCAGTGGTCAGTGCGGTCAGTGTGGTCAGTGTGGCCGGAGGGCAGCGGTCAGTGCAGTCAGTGTGGTCAGTGCAGTCAGCGTGGCCGGAGGGCAGCGGTCAGTGGGGCTGGATGTGGCCATGGGAATGGTCAGCGGTCAGTGTGGCCAGAGGTCAGTGTGGCCGGAGGTCAGTGGTCAGTGTGGCCAGAGGGCAGCGGTCAGTGCGGTCAGTGCGGTCAGTGTGGTCAGTGTGGCCGGAGGGCAGCGGTCAGTGCGGTCAGTGTGGTCAGTGTGGTCAGTGTGGCCGGAGGGCAGCGGTCAGCACGGTCAGTGTGGTCAGTGTGGCCGGAGGGCAGCGGTCAGTGCGGTCAGCGCGGTCAGTGTGGTCAGTGTGGTCAGTGTGGTCAGTGTGGTCAGTGCGGCCGGAGGGCAGTGGTCAGTGCGGTCAGTGCGGTCAGTGCGGTCAGTGTGGCCGGAGGGCAGCGGTCAGCGCGGACAGAGGTCAGTGCGGCCGGAGGGCAGCGGTCAGTGTGGTCAGCGTGGTCAGCGTGGCCGGAGGGCAGCGGTCAGTGTGGTCAGTGCAGTCAGTGTGGCCAGAGGGCAGCGGTCAGTGGGGCTGGATGTGGCCATGGGAATGGTCAGCGGTCAGTGTGGCCAGAGGTCAGTGTGGCTGGAGGTCAGTGGTCAGTGTGGCCAGAGGGCAGCAGTCAGTGTGGCCAGAAGTCAGTGGTCAGTGCGGCCGGAGGTCAGTGGTCAGCAGGGCCAGAGGGCAGCGGTCAGCATGGCTGGAGGGCAGTGGTCAGCAGGGCTGGATGTGGCTGGGGGAGTGGTCAGCGGTCATTGGTCAGTGGTCAGTGGGGTCAGTGGTCAGTGGGGTCAGTGGGGTCAGCAGGGTCATTGATCATTGGTCAATGGTCAATGGTCAATGGTCAGTGGTCACTCAGTGGTCACTCACAGGACGTGGCGGATGGCCGTGGCCGTGCGCGTGGCTCCGGACAGCTGCCGGACAATGGCCAGGGGAGCGGTCAGTGGGGTCAGCAGGGCCAGCAGGGTCAGTGTGGTCAGTGTGGTCAGTGGTCACTCAGTGGTCACTCACAGGATGTGGCGGATGGCCGTGGCCGTGCGCGTGGCTCCGGACAGCTGCCGGACAATGGTCAGTGGGGTCAGTGGGGTTAATGGTCAGTAGGGTCAATGGTCAGTGGTCACTCAGTGGTCAGTGGTCACTCACAGGACATGGCGGATGGCCGTGGCCGTGCGCGTGGCTCCGGACAGCTGCCGGACAATGGTCAGTGTGGTCAGTGGGGTTAATGGTCAGTGGTCACTCAGTGGTCACTCACAGGACGTGGCGGATGGCCGTGGCCGTGCGCGTGGCTCCGGACAGCTGCCGGACGCTCTGGAGCAGCCGCCGGGGCTCCGGAAGCTTCCGGAAGGCGCTGAAGTCGAAATGGTCCCGGATCTCATGGGAGAACTGGGTCAGGGAGAACTGGACAGATGGACACAGAGTGACCACTGAGATGGACACTGAGTGACCGCCCCAGATGGACACGGAGTGACCACCGAGATGGACACGGAGTGACCGCCCAGATGGACACTGAGTGACCGCCCAGATGGACAATGAGTGACCACCCCAGATGGACACGGAGTGACCACTGAGATGGACACGGAGTGACCACCCCGATGGTGTGTTTACCTGCCCAGGTGTGTGCATTACCTGCCCAGCTGTGCCCAGCTGTGCCCAGGTGTGCCCAGGTGTGCCCAGGTGTGTTTACCTGTCCCAGGTGTGTAGTTACCTGTCCAGGTGTGCAGTTACCTGCGCGTTGCTGTCCCGGAAGTGCCGCATCACCTGCCCCAGGTGTGTGCATTACCCATCCCAGGTGTGCCCAGGTGTGCCCAGGTGTGTGTTACCTGCCCAGGTGTGCAGTTACCTGTGCGTCGCTGTGTCGGAAGTGCCCCATCACGCGCCCCAGGTGTATTTACCTGTCCCAGGTGTGTCCATTACCCATCCCAGGTGTGTGTGTTACCTGTCCCAGGTGTGCAGTTTACCTGCCTAGGTGTTCATTACCTGTGCATCGCTGTGCCGGAAGTGCCGCATCACGCACCCCAGGTGTGTTTACCTGCCCAGGTGTGTGTTACCTGCCCAGGTGTGCCCAGGTGTGTGTTACCTGCCCAGGTGTGCCCAGGTATGTCCATTACCTGTCCCAGGTGTGCAGTTACCTGTGCGTCGCTATCCCGGAAGTGCCCCATCACGCGCCCCACGAACGCTTTCATGCCCAGGTGTGTGTATTTACCTGTCCCAGGTGTGTATTTACCTGTGCCAGGTGTATTTACCTGTGCATCGCTATCCCGGAAGTGCCCCATCACGCGCCCCACGAACGCTTTCATGCCCAGGTGTGTGTGTTACCTGTCCCAGGTGTGCCCAGGTGTGTGTGTGTTACCTGTCCAGGTGTGCAGTTACCTGCGCGTCGCTGTGCCGGAAGTGCCCCATCACGCGCCCCACGAACGCTTTCATGCCCAGGTGTGTATTTACCTGTCCCAGGTGTGTATTTACCTGCCCAGGTGTGTGTGTGTTACCTGTCCCAGGTGTGTGTGTTACCTGTGCATCGCTGTGCCGGAAGTGCCCCATCACGCGCCCCACGAACGCTTTCATGCCCAGGTGTGTGTGTTACCTGTCCAGGTGTGCAGTTTACCTGTGCCAGGTGCGTTACCTGTGCGTCGCTGTCCCGGAAGTGCCCCATCACGCGCCCCACGAACGCTTTCATGCCCAGGTGTGCCCAGGTGTGCCCAGGTGTGTATTTACCTGTGTGTCGCTGTCCCGGAAGTGCCCCATCACGCGCCCCACGAACGCTTTCATGCCCAGGTGTATATTTACCTGTCCCAGGTGTGTGTGTGTTACCTGTCCCAGGTGTGTTCCTTACCTGTGCATCCGCATGCCGGAAGTGCCCCATCACGCGCCCCACGAACGCTTTCATGCCCAGGTGTGTCCATTACCCATCCCAGGTGTATTTACCTGCCCAGGTGTGTGTTACCTGCCCCAGGTGTGTTCATTACCTGTGCGTCGCTATCCCGGAAGTGCCCCATCACGCACCCCACGAACGCTTTCATGCCCAGGTGTATATTTACCTGTCCCAGGTGTGTGTGTGTTACCTGTCCCAGGTGTGCAGTTACCTGTGTGTCGCTATCCCGGAAGTGCCCCATCACGCGCCCCACGAACGCTTTCATGCCCAGGTGTATTTACCTGCCCAGGTGTGCAGTTTACCTGTCCCAGGTGTGTTCCTTACCTGCGCATCGCTGTGCCGGAAGTGCCCCATCACGCGCCCCACGAACGCTTTCATGCCCAGGTGTGTATTTACCTGTCCCAGGTGTGTCCATTACCCATCCCAGGTGTATTTACCTGTCCAGGTGTGTTACCTGTGCATCAGCACCCCGGAAGTGCCCCATCACGCGCCCCACGAACGCTTACCTGTCCCAGGTGTGTATTTACCTGTCCCAGGTGTGTGTCCATTACCTGTCCAGGTGTGCATTGTTACCTGTGCGTCGCTATCCCGGAAGTGCCCCATCACGCGCCCCACGAACGCTTTCATGCCCAGGTGTGTGTGTTACCTGTCCCAGGTGTGTATTTACCTGTCCAGGTGTGTATTTACCTGTCCCAGGTGTGCAGTTACCTGTGCGTCGCTGTGCCGGAAGTGCCCCATCACGCGCCCCACGAACGCTTTCATGCCCAGGTGTATTTACCTGCCCAGGTGTGCAGTTTACCTGTCCCAGGTGTGTTCATTACCTGCGCGTCGCTATCCCGGAAGTGCCCCATCACGCGCCCCACGAACGCTTACCTGCCCAGGTGTGTATTTACCTGTCCCAGGTGTGTCCAGGTGTGTATTTACCTGCCCCAGGTGTGCAGTTTACCTGTCCCAGGTGCGTTACCTGTGCATCGCTGTGCCGGAAGTGCCCCATCACGCGCCCCACGAACGCTTTCATGCCCAGGTGTGCCCAGGTGTGTGTGTTACCTGTCCAGGTGTGTGTGTTACCTGCCCAGGTGTGTATTTACCTGTCCCAGGTGTGCCCAGGTGTATATTTACCTGTCCCAGGTGTATTTACCTGTGTGTCGCTATCCCGGAAGTGCCCCATCACGCGCCCCACGAACGCTTTCATGCCCAGGTGTGTGTGTTACCTGTCCCAGGTGTGTATTTACCTGTCCCAGGTGTGCCCAGGTGTGCCCAGGTGTGTGTGTTACCTGCCCAGGTGTGCCCAGGTGCGTTACCTGTGTGTCACTATCCCGGAAGTGCCCCATCACGCGCCCCACGAACGCTTTCATGCCCAGGTGTGTGTGTTACCTGCCCAGGTGTGTCCATTACCCCATCCCAGGTGTGCAGTTTACCTGTCCCAGGTGTGTTCATTACCTGTGCATTCCGCATGCCGGAAGTGCCCCATCACGCGCCCCACGAACGCTTTCATGCCCAGGTGTGTATTTACCTGTCCCAGGTGTGCATTTACCTGTGCATCGCTATCCCGGAAGTGCCCCATCACGCGCCCCCACGAACGCTTACCTGTCCAGGTGTGTGTGTTACCTGCCCAGGTGTGCCCAGGTGTGTATTTACCTGTGCATCCGCATGCCGGAAGTGCCCCATCACGCGCCCCACGAACGCTTTCATGCCCAGGTGTGTCCATTACCTGTCCCAGGTGTGTTACCTGTGCGTCGCTGTGCCGGAAGTGCCCCATCACGCGCCCCACGAACGCTTTCATGCCCAGGTGTATTTACCTGCCCCAGGTGTGCCCAGGTGTGTCCAGGTGTGTCCAGGTGCGTTACCTGTGTGTCGCTATCCCGGAAGTGCCCCATCACGCGCCCCACGAACGCTTTCATGCTCTCGAAATCCTCGCGGGCGATGCTGCCCGAGCCGTCCACCAGGAACGCGATGTCCATGGCGGCCGAGGGGCACTCTGCGGACACCGAGTGACCATTGAGTGACCAATGAGTGACCACTGACCAGTGAGTGACCACTGAGTGACCACCGAGTGACCAATGAGTGACCGCTGAGTGACCACTGACTGACCAGTGACCACGAGTGACCACTGACTGCTGAGTGACCACTGAGTGACCACTGAGTGACCACAGTGACCACTGAGTGACCACTGACTGCTGAGTGACCACTGAGTGACCACTGAGTGACCATTGACCAATGAGTGACCACTGAGTGACCAATGAGTGACCACTGAGTGACCATTGACCATCCCTGAGTGACCAATGAGTGACCACCGAGTGACCACTGAGTGACCATTGACCATCCCTGAGTGACCACTGAGTGACCACGAGTGACCAATGACCAACGAGTGACTACTGAGTGACCACTGAGTGACCACTGAGTGACCACTGACCACTGAGTGACCACTGAGTGACCACTGAGTGACCACTGAGTGACCACTGACCACCCAAATTTTGGGGTGAAATCTCCAGGAAAAAAAACCCCCGAAATTTTGGGGTTCTAAATTCTCAATGTCCCACAAAAAAAGCCCAGATGACCACAGAGTGGCCAATGGTCAGTGTCCATGGAGATGAATGACCCCAGATGACCACGGGTTGGTCACCACTCAAGGTCAATGATGACCAATGGTCATTGGGTGGTCACCACTCAGTGTCCATGGTCAGTGGTCAGTGTCCATGAGCCCAGATGACCCCAGATGACCCAAGATGACCAATGGTCACTAAGTGGTCAACACTCAATGTCCATGGAGATGAATGACCCCAGATGACCACGGGGTGGTCACCACTCAAGGTCAAGGATGACCAATGGTCATTGAGGGGTCACCACTCAATGCCCATGGCCAGTGGTCAGTGTCCATGAGCCCAGATGACCACGGGGTGGACAATGACCATTGGGTGGTCACCACTCAAGGTCAACAATGACCCAATGACCACGGGGTGGACAATGGTCAGTGTCCACAGCCCTGATGATCCCAGATGACCAATGGTCACTAAGTGGTCACCACTCCATGTCCATGGAGACGAATGACCCCAGATGACCATGGGGTGGACAATGACCATTGGGTGGTCACCACTCAAGGTCAATGATGACCATGGCCCCAATGACCCCAGATGACCACGGGGTGGTCACCACTCAATGTCCATGGCCAGCGGTCAGTGTCCATGGCCCCAATGACCCCAGATGACCCAAGATGACCACAAGGTGGCCAATGGTCAGTGTCCGTGAGCCCAGATGATCCCAGATGACCACTGGTCACTAAGTGGTCACCACTCAATGTCCATGGTCAATGGTCAGTGTCCATGACCCCAGATGACCACAGGGTGGGCAATGACCATTGGGTGGTCACCACTCAAGGTCAACGATGACCCAATGACCACAGGGGTGGCCAATGGTCAGTGTCCATGTCCCTGATGACCCCAGATGACCAATGGTCATTGGGTGGTCACCACTCAAGGTCAATGATGACCACGGCCCTGATGACCCCAGATGACCATGGCGTGGACACTGGACAATGGTCAGTGTCCCTGAGCCCAGATGACCAATGGTCATTGGGTGGTCACCACTCAAGGTCAACAATGACCCAATGACCACAAGGTGGCCAGTGGTCAGTGTCCATGTCCCTGATGACCCCAGATGACCACAGGGTGGCCAATGGTCACTGTCCCTGAGCCCAGATGACCACTGGTCACTAAGTGGTCACCACTCAAGGTCAATGATGACCACGGCCCTGATGACCCCAGATGACCACGGGGTGGTCACCACTCAATGGTCAGTGTCCCTGACCCCAGATGACCAATGGTCATTGGGTGGTCACCACTCAATGTCCATGGCCAACGGTCAGTGTCCCTGACCCCAGCTGACCCCGGCTGACCCCACTGACCCCCGCTGACCCCGCTGACCCCTGGCTGACCCCGCTGACCCCGCGGCTGCCCAGCGGTCACTCGGTACCTGGGAAGGCGCCGGGCAGTGTCCGGAGCGGCCGGAGCGCGGGGTCCAGCTGGACGCAGAAGCCGTTGAGGTGGACGTTGACCCCGCACACCTGGGGCGAGGCGGGGCCGCACACCTGGACACAGATTTCACCTCAGAAACGGCGATTTTGGTTAAAAAGGGAAAAAAAATTTAAAAAAAAATCCCGTCCCGAGGTCCCCTCGGAAAAAAAAAAAAGGGAATTTTGGGGTGAAATGTTGAAAAAACAAACAAACAAAATAAAAATTGCAGTTTTTGGGAAATCTGCCTGGCAGGAACTTCAATTTTTGGGGTGAAACCTCACAAAAAAAAATTCAATTTTTGGATGAAACCTCACCAAAAAAAAATTCAATGTTTGGGGCGAAACCTGACCAAAAAAAAATTCAATTTTTGGGGCAAAACCTCACAAAAAAAAATTCAAATTTTTGGGAATTTTTGGGAATTTTTGGGAATTTTTGGGAAATCTGCCTGGCAAGAACTTCAATTTTTGGGACAAAACCTCCAAAAAAATTCAATTTTTGGGGCAAAACCTCACCAAAAAAAATTCAAATTTTTGGGAATTTTTGGGAATTTTGGGGAATTTTTGGGAATTTTGGGGAATTAATTTTTGGGAAATCTACCGGGCAAGAACTTCAATTTTTAGGGGGAAATCTCCAAAAAATTCCAAGTTTTGGGAATTTTTGGGAATTCTGCCTGGCAAGAACTTCGATTTTTGGGGTGAAATCTCCAAAAAAACTCCAAATTTTGGGGCAGAACCTCCTAAAAACCCCAAATTTTGGGGAGGAACCTCCTAAAAACCCCAAATTTGGGGTGAAACCTCACAAAAACCTCCAAATTTTGGGGAGAAACTTCCTAAAAACCCCAAATTTTGTGGTGGAACCTCCTAAAAAACCCCAAATTTTGGGGCAAAACCTCCTAAAACCTCCAAATTTTGTGGTAAAACCTCCGAAAAAATCCAGATTTTTGTGGTGAAACCTCCAAAAAAATCCAAATTTTGGAGCGAAACCACCCAAAAACCCCCAAATTTTCAGGTGCAACCTCCCCAACCCCTCCAAGTTTCACACTTAAAAAGCCCCAAAACCTCCAAATTTTGGAGTAGAACCTCCCAAAAAAACCCAAATTTTGGGGTGAAACCTCCCAAAAAACCCCAAATTTTCGGGCAGAACCTCACAAAAACTTCCAAGTTTTACAGTAAAAAAGCCCTAAAAACTCCAAATTTTGGGGCGAAAAGCCCTAAAAAAACCCCCAAATTTTGGGGTGAAACCTCCTAAAACCCCCAAATTTTGGGGCGAAACCTCCCAAAAACCTCCAAATTTTGGGGCAAAACCTCCTAAAAAAATCCAAATTTTGGGGCGAAACCTCCCAAAAAATCCAAACTTTGGGGCAAAACCTCCTAAAAACCTCCAAATTTTGTGGTGGAACCTCACAAAAACCCCCAAATTTTGTGGTAAAACCACCCAAAAAACCCCAAATTTTCGGGTGCAACCTCCCAAACCCCTCCAAGTTTCACACTAAAAAACCCCCAAAACCTCCAAATTTTGGGGTAAAAAGCCCCAAAAACCCCCAAATTTTGTGGCAGAACGTCCTAAAAACCCAAATTTTGTGGCGGAACCTCCTAAAAACCCCCAAATTTGAGGCAAAACCTCCTAAAAACTCCAAATTTTGGGGCAAAACCTCCGAAAAAATCCAGATTTTTGTGGTGAAACCTCCCAAAAAATCCAAATTTTGGAGCAAAACCACCCAAAAAACCCCAAATTTTCAAGTGCAACCTCCCCAACCCCTCCAAGTTTTACAGCAAAAAAGCCCCAAAACCTCCAAATTTTGGAGTAGAACCTCCCAAAAAAATCCAAAATTTGGGGTGAAACCTCCTAAAAAAACCCAAATTTTGTGGTGGAACCTCCCAAAAAACCTCCAAATTTTGGGGCAAAACCTCCTAAAACCTCCAAATTTTGTGGTAAAACCTCCAAAAAAATCCAGATTTTTGTGGTGAAGCCTCCCAAAAAATCAAAATTTTGGGGCAAAACCTCCTAAAAACCTCCAAGTTATACAGTAAAAAAGCCCCAAAACCTCCAAATTTTGGGGCAAAACCTCCTAAAAAAATCCCAAATTTTTGGGTAGAACCTTACAAAAACTTCCAAGTTCAATGGTAAAAAGCCCTAAAAACTCCAAATTTTGTGGTAAAACCACCCAAAAAAACCCCAAATTTTCAGGTGCAACCTCCCCAACCCCCTCCAAGGTTTCACACTAAAAAAGCCCCAAAACCTCCAAATTTTGGGGCAAAACCCCCAAATTTCGGGGTCTCACCAGGGCCCGCGTCGTCCCCCGGCCGCCAGCGCCAGCCCCAGCGAGGAATTTTCGGATCCGGGGGGGCCTGGGAAAGGTGGGAGGGGCCAGGGCTGAGACCACGCCCAGAATTTGGGATCCGCCCCCCCAAAAAAATTCGGGGTTCCCCAAAAAAATTTGGGGAGGGGTCCCCCAAAATTTGGGGAGGGGTCCCCCAAAATTTGGGGGTCTCACCTGAAATTGGAATTTTCTGGCAATTCCCGGAGCCGAAGCTGCAGCCGAAAACGGCCCCGGAGCCGCCGCCCGCCCGGGGCGCCCCCACCAGGAGCCTTTGGGGTGAAATCCGGAGGATTTGGGAAAATTGGGGTTTTTGGGAGGGAAAATGGGGGAGTTTGGGGATTTTTGGGGGGTTTTTGGGGGGTTTTTTGGGGGTTTTTTGGTGGGAATTTGAGGATTTTCAGGGGATTTTGGGGGGATTTTGGGGGGATTTGAGGCGATTTTGGGGTTTTTTTGGGGTTTTTTTTTGGCGGAAATTTGAGGATTTTGGGGTGGATTTTGGGGTGGATTTTGTGGTGGATTTTGGGGTGGATTTTGGGGTTTTTTTTTGGGGAAATTTGAGGATTTTGGGGTGGATTTTGGGGTTTTTTTTGGTGGAAATTTGAGGAATTTCTGGGGATTTTTGGGGTGGATTTTGGGGTGGATTTTGGGGTGGATTTTGGGGTGTTTTTTTGCGGAAATTTGAGGAATTTCAGGGGATTTTGGGGGGATTTTGGGGTGGATTTTGGGTTTTTTTGGGGGTTTTTTTGGGGTTTTTTTGGTGGGAATTTGAGGATTTTCAGGGGATTTTTTGGGGTGGATTTTGCGGTGGATTTTGGGGTGGATTTTGGGGTTTTTTTTTTGGTGGAAATTTGAGGATTTTGGGGTGGATTTTGGGGTGGATTTTGAGGGTGGATTTTGGGGGGATTTTGGGGTGGAATTTTGGGGTGAAATCAGGCGGATTTGGGAAAATTGGGAGTTTTTTGGGAGGGGAGAGGAATGGGGAGAGTTTGGGGTTTTTGGGTTTTTTTGGGGGTTTTTTTGGGGGTTTTTTTTGGCGGAAATTTGAGGATTTTCAGGGGATTTTTGGGGTGGATTTTGGGGTGAGATTTTGGGGTGGATTTTGGGTTTTTTGGTTTTTTTTTTGCTGGAAATTTGAGGATTTTGGGGTGGATTTTGGGGGGGTTTAGGGGTGGATTTTGGGGTGGATTTTGGGGTTTTTTTGGGGGGTTTTTTTGGCAGAAATTTGAGGAATTTCAGGGGATTTTGGGGGGATTTTGGGGTGGATTTTGGGGTGGATTTTGGGGTTTTTGGGGTTTTTTTTTGGCGGAAATTTGAGGAATTTCAGGGGATTTTTGGGGTGGATTTTGGGGGTTTTTTTGGGTTTTTTTGGTGGAAATTTGAGGATTTTGGGGTGGATTTTGGGGGGGTTTAGGGGTGGATTTAGGGGTGGATTTTGGGGTGGATTTTGGGGTTTTTTTGGGTTTTTTTTTTGGCAGAAATTTGAGGAATTTCAGGGGATTTTGGGGGGATTTTGGGGTGGATTTTGGGGTGGATTTTGGGGGGGTTAGGGGTGGATTTTGGGGTGGATTTTGGGTTTTTTTGGGGGGTTTTTTTGGCAGAAATTTGAGGAATTTCAGGGGATTTTGGGGGGATTTTGCGGTGGATTTTGGGGTGGATTTTGGGGTTTTTGGGGTTTTTTTTTGGCGGAAATTTGAGGAATTTCAGGGGATTTTTGGGGTGGATTTTGGGGGGTTTTTTTGGGTTTTTTGGTGGAAATTTGAGGATTTTGGGGTGGATTTTGGGGGGGTTTAGGGTCGGATTTAGGGGTGGATTTTGGGGTGGATTTTGGGGTTTTTTTGGGGGGAAATTTGGGGGATTTTCGGGATATTTTTTGGCGGGGTTTTGGGGGATATTTTGGGGTGAATTCAGGGGATTTTGGGCCGATTTTTTGGGAGATTTTTCGGGTGAATTTGGGATATTTTCGGGGCTGTTTCAGGGGCTATTTTGGGGTGATTTATGGCCGATTTTTGGGGTGAATTTGGGATATTTTTGGGGATATTTCAGGGCCTATTTTGGGGTGAATCCAGGGGATTTTGGGCTGATTTGGGGCCGATTTTTTGGGAGATTTTTCGGGTGAATTTGGGATATTTTAGGGGATGTTTCAGGGGCTGTTTTGGGGTGATTTAGGGGGATTTTCGGGGATATTTTCGGGGATATTTCAGGGATGATTTTGGGGTGAATCCAGGGGATTTTGGGCTGATTCTGGGCCGATTTTTCGGGAGATTTTTTGGGGTGAATTTGGGATATTTTCGGGGATCTTTCAGGGGCTGTTTTGGGATAAATCCAGGGGATTTTGGGGTGGATTTTGGGGCAGATTTTCCAGGGATTTTCAGGGATATTTTCGGGGATATTTCAGGGATGATTTTGGGGTGAATTCAGGGGATTTTGGGCCAATTTTTCGGGTGAATTTGGGATATTTTTGGGGATCCTTCAGGGTTATTTTGGGGTGATTTAGGGGGGATTTTGGGGTGATTTGGGGGGATTTTGGGGGGGGATTTTGGGGTGATTTTTGGGGTGATTTTTGGGGATATTTTCAGGGATATTTCCGGGGATGTTTCAGGGTCGGTTTTGGGGTGAATCCAGGGGATTTTGGGGTGGATTTTGGGGCAGATTTTCGGGGGATTTTCGGGGGGATTTTTGGGGATATTTTCAGGGATATTTTAGGGGATATTTCGGGGTCGGTTTTGGGGTGAATCCCGGGGATTTTGGGGGGATTTTAGGGGGATTTTGGGGTGATTTTGGGGTGATTTTGGGGTGATTTTCGGGGGGATTTTTGGGGATATTTTCGGGGATATTTCGGGGTCGGTTTTGGGGTGAATCCCGGGGATTTTGGGGTGATTTTGGGGTGATTTTTGGGGGGATTTTCGGGGGGATTTTTGGGGATATTTTTGGGGATATTTCCGGGCCTGTTTCGGGGTCAGTTTTGGAGTGAATCCCGGGGATTTTGGGGGGATTTTGGGGATATTTTTGGGGATATTTTTGGGGATATTTTCGGGGATATTTCCGGGGATATTTCGGGGTCGGTTTTGGGGTGAATCCCGGGGATTTTGGGGGGATTTCGGGGGGATTTTTGGGGTGATTTTCGGGGGGATTTTCGGGGATATTTTCGGGGATATTTCCGGGGATGTTTCAGGGTCGGTTTTGGGGTGAATCCCGGGGATTTTGGGGGGATTTTAGGGGGATTTTTGGGGATATTTTTGGGGTGATTTTTGGGGATATTTTCAGGGATATTTCCGGGGATATTTCAGGGTCAGTTTTGGGGTGAATCCCGGGGATTTTGGGGGGATTTTGGGGTGATTTTTGGGGGGATTTTTGGGGATATTTTCAGGGATATTTCCGGGCCTGTTTTCAGGGTCGGTTTTGGGGTGAATCCCGGGGATTTTGGGTGATTTTTGGGGGGATTTTCGGGGATATTTTCGGGGATATTTCCGGGGATATTTCGGGGTCAGTTTTGGGGCGAATCCCGGGGATTTTGGGGTGGATTTTGGGGCAGATTTTCCAGGGATTTTCGGGGGATTTTGGGGGGATTTTCGGGGATATTTTCGGGGATATTTTCGGGGATATTTCCGGGGATATTTCGGGGTCTGTTTTGGGGTGAATCCCGGGGATTTTGGGGGGATTTTGGGGGGATTTTGGGGGGATTTTGGGGTGATTTTTGGGGTGATTTTTGGGGATATTTTCAGGGATATTTCCGGGCCTGTTTCGGGGTCGGTTTTGGGGTGAATCCCGGGGATTTTGGGGTGATTTTGGGGTGATTTTTGGGGGGATTTTCGGGGATATTTTCGGGGATATTTCCGGGGATGTTTCAGGGTCAGTTTTGGGGTGAATCCCGGGGATTTTGGGGTGATTTTGGGGTGATTTTTGGGGTGATTTTGGGGATATTTTCGGGGATATTTCCGGGGATATTTCGGGGTCGGTTTTGGGGTGAATCCCGGGGATTTTGGGCCTTTACCGTCCCGTTTTCCCGGATCCAAACTGGGCCACGCTGGCGCCGAAGCCGCTCCTGGGGTCCCCCCTGAACACCGTGGGGGTCTCCAGGTCCAGCCCCCAACAGGAGAGAGCGGCTGCGGGGGAGGGGCCGGTGACGTCATTGAGGGGGAGGGGCCGGTGACGTCATGGGGGCGGGGGAGGGGCACACCTGGGGGGGGCAATGATGGCCCCAGGGGTGACCCCGGTGTGACCCCAATGTGACCCCGGTGTGACCCCGGTGTGACCCCCGGTGTGACCCCAGGTGTGACCCCAATGTCCAGGGGGGTCCCCAATGTCCAAGTGTCCACCCCAGTGTCCCCAATGTCCCCCAATGTCCGTCTGTCCACCCCAATGTCCATCTGTCCACCCCAATGTCCGTCGGTCCATCCCAATGTCCCCAATGTCCCCAATGTCCATCTGTCCGTCTGTCCATCTGTCCCCCAATGACCCCAATGTGACCCCAGTGTGACCCCAGGGGTGACCCCAATGTGACCCCAGGTGTGACCCCAATGTCCAGGGGGTCCCCAATGTCCATCTGTCCACCCCAGTGTCCCCAATGTCCCCAGTGTCCGTCTGTCCGCACCCATGTCCCAATGTCCGTCTGTCCCCCAACCCTCAATGTCCCCAGTGTCCGTCTGTCCCACCCCAATGTCCGTCTGTCTGTCCGTCTGTCCGTCCATCCATCCCCCAACGCTCAACATCCCCAATGTCCGTCTGTCCACCCCAATGTCCCCAGTGTCTGTCTGTCCCCCAGGTGTCCGTCTGTCCATCCCCAATGTTCCCCAATGTCCCTGGTGTCCGTCTGTCCATCCCAGTGTCCGTCTGTGCCCCCCCAATGTCCTCAATGTCCGTCTGTCCATGCCCATGTCCGCCTGTCCGTCTGTCCACCCCAACGTCCATCTTTGTCCCCAGTGTCCATCTGTCCCCTGGGTGTGTCCCCAGTGTCCGTCTGTCCATCCCCAGTGTCCGTCTGTCCCCAACGCTCAATGTCCCCAATGTCCATCTGTCCATCCCCAATGTCCGTCTGTCCATCCCCAATGTCCGTCTGTCCATCCCCAGTGTCCGTCTGTCCATCCCCAATGTCCGTCTGTCCATTCCCAGTGTCCGTCTGTCCATCCCCAATGTCCATCCGTCCATCCCCAGTGTCCGTCTGTCCATCCCCAGTGTCCGTCTGTCCATCCCCAATGTCTGTCTGTCCATCCCCAGTGTCCGTCTGTCCCCAACCCTCCACGTCCCCAATGTCCGTCTGTCCCCCCGGTGTCCGTCTGTCCATCCCCAATGTCCGTCTGTCCATCCCCCGTGTCCGTCCGTCCGTCCGTCCGTCCCCACCTGTCCCCAGCAGCGCCAGGAGCTGCCCCGGTCCCATCGCGGCTCCTCCGGCTTCGCCCCCCCAAAACAGAAAATAAAAAAAAAAAAACCCAAAAAAACCCCAAAAAACGCGGAACATCGGGGGTGGGGGAGGGGCAGGAAGTGGGGGTGTGTGGGTGTGGGGGGAGGGGCGGGCGTGACGCAATTTTGGGGTGAAACGGCCCCAAAAAAGGTCAAAAGTCGGGGGGGGGGGCGGGGGGCGGCGGCGGTGACGTCACCGGGAGAGCGCGTGGGAAAGGAGGAAGGAGCCGCTTCCCCGTGGGGGGAGGGGCAGGGAGGGGGCGGGGCCCGACGGGGGGGGGGGATGGGGCCCACGTGTGTCCGTCTGTCCATGGTCCGTCCATCTGTCCATCCATCCCCAGTGTCCGTCTGTCCATCCATGGCCCATGTGTCCATCTGTCCATGGCCTGTGTGTGTCCCTCTGTCCGTCCATGGCCTGTCCGTCCATCCGTCCGTCCAATCCCAGTGTCCGTCTGTCCGTCCATGGCGTGTCCGTCCATCTGTCCATTCCCTGTGTCCGTCTGTCCGTCCATGGCCCGTGTGTGTGTCCATCTGTCCATCCATTCCCAGTGTCCATCTGTCCGTTCTGTCCGTCCATGGCCCGTGCGTGTCCGTCTGTCCGTCCAATCCCAGTGTCCTTCCATTCCCTGTGTCCATCTGTCCGTCCATGGCCTGTCCATCCGTCTGTCCGTCCAATCCCAGCGTCCATCTGTCTGTCCATGGCCTGTCCGTCCATCCCCCAGTGTCTGTCCGTCCGTCCATTCCCAGCATCCGTCTGTCCGTCCATGGCCTGTCCGTCCATCCATCCGTCCAATCCCAGCGTCCGTCTGTCCGTCCATGGCCTGTCCATCCATCCGTCCATTCCCAGTGTCCGTCTGTCCGTCCCCAGTGTCCATCCGTCCATCCAATCCCTGTGTCCGTCTGTCCGTCCATTCCCCATGTCCATCTATGGCCTGTGTCCGTCTGTCCATCCGTCCATCCCCAGTGTCCGTCTGTCTGTCCATCCCCTGTGTCCGTCTGTCTATCCATGGCCTGTCCATCCATCTGTCCGTCCATCCAATCCCAGTGTCCGTCTGTCCATTCTGTCCGTCCATCCATTCCCTGTGTCCGTCTGTCCATCCATTCCCTGTGTCCGTCTGTCTGTCCATCCAATCCCAGCGTCCATCTGTCCGTCCATTCCCTCTGTCCATCCCCTGTCCATCTATGGCCTGTGTCCGTCTGTCCATCTATGGCCTGTGTGTGTCCGTCTGTCCGTCCATCCATCCCCAGTGTCCGTCTGTCCGTCCAATCCTCAGTGTCTGTCCGTCCATTCCCTGTGTCCATCTGTCCGTCCAATCCCAGTGTCCGTCTGTCCGTCCCCCAGTGTCCATCCCCTGTCCATCCATGGCCTGTGTGTCCGTCTGTCCGTCTGTCCATGGCCCACGTGTGTCTGTCCATCCATTCCCTGTGTCCATCTGTCCGTCCATGGCCCGTGTGTGTCCGTCTGTCCGCCCATGGCCTGTCCATCCGTCTGTCCGTCCATCCATCCCCCAGCGTCCGTCTGTCCATCCAATCCCAGTGTCCGTCTGTCCATCCATTCCCAGTGTCCATC